ACTTATTATCTATCACATATGTAATGATAATCTGCCATACATTGAATTTCACAAGCATACCATTCCCATTGCTAGTTCTTATTTCATGGGCTCTCACAGAGTACATACTAAATTCAGTGGATGAAGATTTTGCTTTCCTTTCCCTACAGAAGGATGAAGATTTTGTTTTCCTTTCCCTCCTTTCTTTGTATTAGAAAGATGCACCACAGTCCAAGACAAGTCATTCCTGATGTCTTGCCCATTCTAAGCTCCCAGGATAAGCTATAAGTTAAAAGCACTAGGCTTCTAATTCAGCAATTACTATGGCAACAGTAGTTTAATTCAAAGAAAGGAGGAGAGTTCAGGCCTTTCAGCTTTGTCTACACCTCTGACATATACACATTTATAAATGAATAACTCAGGCACTTCTATAGTTCCAAATATAATGTAAGTATTTGAAGCTTCCGGAATATGCAAATTCCTATGACGCTGAAATTGGGTTGAAATATGGAGAGTGGGAAACAATTTCTAGTATCAATATAGTAAACTCTGTTTACAACAAAAGATTATAACAAACTGTAGATTACAAAACAGCGAGATGGGGGGCAGATTTTAATATAAACACCTCCTGGATGTTCTCTATACAAACATCTACTTAATTGCAAGAACCTCTTCTATAAAGTTCTAAGAAATAAAAATAAAGTATCAAAAAGACAAAAAGACTTTCCCAGGGAATAAAGTAGGAGTCATACCCTGGATTTTAATTTCCTAACTTTTAATAGTTCGCTTAGGAACAAACAGTCAACTATCTTTAGATACACAGAAAAGACAACACATCTTGGGGATTTTGTCTAACTTTTACCTTGTCCGGACTTTTACCTCTGATGAAAAGTCACCACGGGAAATTGTGTGTTCCCTCATTTTGTTTTTTTTTTATTCCCACTTGCCTACTTCTCCCTGCTATTCCTTCATTTTAAGTATCATCATACAAGGCTGACAAAAAATAATGGTCCAAGTTTTAATTTAGGCCACCACTTATACGCCTTTTAATAATACAAACAAGATACAACTATGTACTTTGAATTCACAAGCATCTAGTTATTTAACTCATTTCAAGCCTAATAGAACTTTAACAAGACAGAAATTAATATGTAGGGAAATTTCAAGAAGGACAATACTAGCAAGTACTGATAACAATTATTAATCACGATAGGCATCACCCCTGTTGAATTGGAGGTGATGTCAGACGATAAGAATTGAGAAAGTGAAATATATATATAATCCATAATGATCAAAACATCCCAAAGGCTCAGCCTTTCATGAGAACCCAGAAGCAGAGCCATCATATAACACATATTGACTACCATTCCCCTAGAGATCGTGATGGTTCTTGAGAAACACTTATGATTCTGCCTTGTATGTTTTCCCCTTGGATATTTTCTCGTGCCTTTGCTCCCATCTGAAATGACTTCTCCCTTTCCCTCAAAAGTTCCAACTACTTCTAGATCGAATTTAAATCGCTGCCTGTCAAGGCCTTACAAGTATCACTCGTATCTCTAAACGCCTAATTTGTATGAAGTCTCTCACTCCTTTGGAAATTAGTTATGCACTGCCTAATGAGAGTTCTGAGAATGGATGCTGACTTCTCCTTCTTAATTATCTTTATTATTCAACTTTTCACATATTTAAAGCCTTGAGGAGGGGATCTCTGGGTGGCTCAGCTGTTTAGCGTCCTTCGGCCCAGGGCGTGATCCTGGGATTGAGTCCCGCATTGGGCTCCCTGTGTGGAGCCTGCTTCTCCCTCTGCCTGTGTCTCTGCCTCTCTCTGTGTGTCTCTCATGAATGGATAAATAAAATCTTTAAAAAAAAAAAAAAGCCTTGAGGATAATATATTTTACGTTTCTTTTTGTTAACCTATATAGAAGGTGCCATTAAATATTTATTGATTTAAATTTATTTAAAACTATTCATCATTTTTTTAAAAGATTTTATTTATTTATTCATGAGAGACAGAGAGAGAGAGAGGCAGAGACAGGGGCAGAGGGAGAAACAGGCTCCATACTGGGAGCCTGACGTGGGACTCGATCCGGGGTCTCCAGGATCATGCCCTGGGCTAAAGGCGGCGCTAAACCCTGAGCCACCCAGGCTGCCCTATTCATCATTTTTTTTCAATCATTCCATAGTGTTGACTCAACAAACTTTAAAAAATGTAGATGAAAATAATGGTACGCCATTCCAAACTACCTTCTAAACCACTACTTTTAGCTACTGCAAGTAATTTTTTTTAAACTTTAGAATGCTCACAATTCAAACACTGAAGAAGATGATAGAAGTAGCTACATAAATGTCTTGAAAGCAGGTTGAGAAAAGAGTTGGTAATGAGATATTAAGGAAACAAGAACGAAGAGCCATGTTGGGCATATAACAGAAAACAAGAGGAAGTGGTAAAAAAAAAAATCGAGGTGAACAAAATTGGCAATGGAATGGAACGAACTATTGTTGGCAGAAATCCTCCCCTACCTAAGCAATTGTAGTAATTCCAGCAATTTCCTATATGGTAACAGAATTATGGAGTAAGAAATAGATTGCTCAGAATAATCAATGAGGAAATTTAGTTTATCTGGGCCTCAATCCCTTCATCTGTAAAATGAATAAGTGCATACACGATTGCCTCAGGAGAGCCAGTATGTGTAGAAGTTAAAAGTACAGACAGTGAGTATCATTATATAAAATTTTACCAACGGATATAGCTAGGTGAAGGGTATGCGAACTCCTTGTACTATTTCTTTTTTTTTAATAATTTTTTTTAATTTTTATTTATTTATGATAGTCACAGAGAGAGAGAGAGAGAGAGAGGCAGAGACACAGGCAGAGGGAGAAGCAGGCTCCGTGCACCGGGAGCCCGACGTGGGATTCGATCCTGGGTCTCCAGGACCGCGCCGTGGGCCAAAGGCAGGCGCCAAACCGCTGCGCCACCCAGGGATCCCATCCTTGTACTATTTCTGCAACTTCCTGAATGTCTGTAATTATTCCAAAATAAAAGTTTTTTAAAGTACAGGCTGTGGAACCAGACAACTGGGGTTTGACTAGAGGTGTAAACTTGGCTGTGTGACCTCAATCAAGTCATTTAACCTCTCTGGGTTTCATTTTGCTCATCTGTGAAATGAGGATAATAACAGTATTTACCACATAAGGTGTTGTGTGGATTAAATAAGCTAATACCTGTAAACCATTCACAATAGGGCTTGTCACATCGTAGTCACTCAGTGGTCAGCCTTTACCAATGTGGTCCTCATCTTTTCAAAATTTTTCTAAGGTAGCGTCCAGCTCTAGAATACATGTAAGCTACTGTGATTTTTGCATTACCAATGTGGAGAAAAATAAACTAGTTTGAAAAAAGAGATTACATCTTGGTAGCCATTGCAGCCAATGTTCTAGCTTAGTCACCTGTCTTCTCTCTGTAAATTAGAATTCAATGTCATATTTATATAGACAGATCTGTGTTTATTTTTTTGAAAAATGGATGTATCACAAAGAACCATGCCATTGGAAAGGAGTCTCGGTTTACATTGGCACCTGGGTTCCTGCTACAGTAAGGTCACTTGCAACAGAACCATGAATAGATGATGTCACATTCTCTCTAACTAACCCTTACCAGGACCTTGAAGATGTCAGGATATGATTCTTGGCACATTTTACACTTACTGCATCTTGTCACCAGTGATTTTGGAGGGTAAGTTTTAGAACTTTATACCTGAAGACTGTTATTGGATCACTCTGTTCTGACTTCTTTTTAATTTCCCTTAGAGATCCTATCTCTCAATTGTTTAATTATCTTCATTACTATTTTGTAGAGTACTGTAAGGATTACATGAGTTAGCATATATCAAAGTACCTCACTCTGTACGTGGCACATAGTCAGCAAGTAATGCATTTTTCTTCCCTTCCTAACCAAGAACAAAACTATTTATCTCCATCAGAATGTGAGGTTCTAATTAGAATCTCATAATGAATATCAGGCAAGCTCACACAAATCCCTAGGTTTTTTATCTTCTTTTTGGAGTTTCCAACAAAGCAGTATTATGAAACCAGATCCTAATTGTTCTTCCCTGCCCACCCTTGTCAATTTTTATCCAGATCCCAAATTTTAAGCTATTATGATGTCTTCTAAAGCTTACATATTTTAAACTGAAATAGTTCAAGAAACATAAACTATAAATAGACATCCTTTGTGAAAACTTTTTTTCTTAAAATTATTCTTTGCCTCACCTAAACCTTATTCAGTCTCATTCCACTTAAAATGTTTTTTGCTCTTCTTACAGTTACTGTAAATGTGCTCCTCCCTCCCTTTCAAAATGTGAAATCTTGTCAAAAAAGGCAGATGTTATAAAATCAAACACCTACGGTAATAGTGCAACATGCTAGGCTAAAACTGTGAGAGAAAATTAATTCAGTAAAGATGGTATCTTGTTACTTCAGTTTGCAACTCTCCTGTCTTTTTTCTTTTTTTTTTTTTTAATGATTTTTAAAGCCAGAACACTCTGTATGCTTCTCACAAAATCAGTGTTTTCAGCTGAATTTTTTCCTCCTATTCTTAAGATTCCATTCTGAAAGTGACAAAACATGAATGGGAAAAAATCCTAAAGCTTGACTTTTCAGATAACTACTACTTCAAGAGTAGTTTGGAAAATTCTGTTTTCACTTTCAGCCTTCCTTGTCTCAAAAAGAACTTGGTTTCTTGTCAAATGCTATGAGAGAATGGTTAAAAGAACCTTTTGATTTGCAAGGCACTTTGTCCTCAAATGCCACTACATTCCTGAGAATTTTTTTTCTTTAGTTCTGAGAATACAACAAAACCCAGTTAAAGCAGCAGGATTTCCTAACACAAAGCTACAAAACCCAAGTTCTGATCAAGACTACCTGCAAATTCAATAGAATGAATAATGAGAGTCTTATTAGACGGCTTTTCTTCTACAAGAGAAAAATACTTTAAAAAAAATCGTCACCAGAGTGATGTTTACCTTAGAAAAATGCTGTACTCAGGATAGAAGACACTTGTATATTGGAACCATGCACCAACTTCCTCTTCAGTTGCCCTTGTTTTGGCTTCTGTTACTGAAAACAGATTAAATGATTCAAATCTTCTTACAGATACATGTCGCAGACAATCATCCAGGTGCTTTTGCTTCAGAACCTTTGAAATAAAACCAAATATTGTGTTTACATTATATAAACACAGCATTCAAAGTTGGACTTACAATACCAATAATAGAAGATTAGATAATGCAGACCAACCTCTTACTAGAGAACTAGAGAAGATGGACAGAATACCTTTTTTTACTATTTTTTGAAAATTATTTATTCAAGGAGGAGAGTAGAGAGAGATAGAGAGAGAACAGGGGGAGGAACAAAGGAAGAGGGATAAGCTGAGCTCAAAGCCTGACACAGGGCTCGATCCCAGGACCCTGAGATCATGACCCAAGCCGAAACCAAGAGTCGATGCTTAACCAACTGAGCCACCCAGACACCCCTGGACAGAGTACCTTAAAACATTATTTGTAGGTAGCAGAGAACAAAGTAGAGAGCTAGTGAAGATTTACCAGTCTAAAAACTTTTAAAAAGGAAATAAATCTAGAGAGGTGAGCCTGGCTTTTGTAATCACTTTCCTTGTGAGGACAATGATCTGATTCCACAAAAAAAAGAGCTAAAAAGATAAGCAACACCTTTTTATAACCTGTGGACTTAGAATGTCAAAGCTTGCTAGGCAAGGGGAGGTATATTATTCTGTGTATGTATGTGCGTCTGTTTTAAGATAAATGAGTAGTTTTGTTGGGGGAGGTCATTGAAAACTGGGTTTTTAAGTATTGGAGAAACAAATATAGCTGTAAGATTAATGATATTAAGCAAAAACTCTACAGCTCTGAATCTGAATAAAGAAAATAATGGTTATTTTACTTATTAAAACATTTTTAAAAATATATGTTTCCTGCATCTGACCACTTAAAAGTTCTAGAAACAATGACCAAACCAGTAGCAATGAACACACTTAATGACCACATTGCTGCCTCTAAATAGCATTTTCTATTAAAACAAAGTAAGGTCCCTTGGAGAAATGGCATAAATTGGACAAATGAACCTAGGACGTGCTGCATACAAGAAAATAAGAAAGCCATAAAAAATTAAAGGCTATATTAAAAGGACTCCAGGGATGCCTGGGTGGCTCAGTGGTTGAACGTCTGCCTTTGGCTCAGGGAGTGATCCTAGTTTAGGGATCAAGTCCCACATCAGGATCCCTGTGAGGAGCCTGCTTCTCCCCCTGCCTATGTCTCTGCCTCTCTCTGTATCTCTCATGAATAAATAAATAAAATCTTTTAAAAATGAATAAAATAAATTTAAAAAAATAAAAGGACTCCAAAGCCAATTTAAATAGGGCCATTGGCCAAAGATGGGACAGTGTGAGCACTAACAAAGGAAATAAATGTAATAGAATCAAAACACAAGTTCATCAGGGTTTTTTTTTTTTTTTTAAATGCCCCATTGCTCAGGTCATGATCCCGATGTCCTAGGATCGAGTCTAGCATTGGGCTCCTTAGTCAGCAGGGAGCCTGCTTCTCCCTCTCCCTCTGCCTGCCATGCCCCCTGCTTATGCTCACTGTCTCACACTCTCTTTATGTCAAATAAAAATAAACAAGACCTAAAAAAAATAAAATAATAAAATGCCCCATTGATGATCTTTAAAGGATGCTAGAGAACCAATTTATTATTCGGAAAATTAGTAAACAAAGAGGAGAATCAAGTATTTTTCTGTCTTTTATGAACTATAAGAATATACAAATAGATGATAAGGGGAAGTTTGTATTTATGCTAATATAACAATAAATAAATGAAGAAACAACACAATTAGAATATCACCATTTTCAACCTCCTCATGAATTCATGAACCTAGACAAATATCACCAAGAAGAGAAATATCCAGGGGCGCCTGGGTGTCTCAGTTGGTTGATCCAGGTCCTGGGATCCAGCCTCACATCTGGCTTGCTGCTCAGGGGTGAGTCGGCTTCTCCCTCTCCGTCTCCCTCTATGAATGATCTCTCTTGGTCTCACTCTCTCTTAAACAAATAAAATCTTGGAAAAAAAAAAAAAGAAGAAGAAGAAGAGCAATAACCAGACACAACTTTGACTACTAATGAAAGCATACTCACCATCATCTTGACCAACCAAACCAGACCAAACCAAAAACTTAAACCTGAATCTGATCAAGCCTCTCTATCTAGAAAATAGGAACTTTAAAGGAAATAGAAAATAAGACATGAAGGAACACATTAAACATCATCAAGGACAATTAGCAAAATTCAAATTATGGGAAACTCTAATAGAGGTAAAAGACAGAGAGAGAACATTTAGATTAAAAAGACTTATGAAACAGGGCACTTGGTCAGCTCAGAAGAGCAAGCAATTCTTTTTTTTTTTTCCTAAATTTTTTTTTTTAATTTTTATTTATTTATGATAGTCACAGAGAGAGAGAGGCAGAGACACAGGCAGAGGGAGAAGCAGGCTCCATGCACCGGAAGCCCGACGTGGGATTCGATCCCGGGTCTCCAGAATCGCGCCCTGGGCCAAAGGCAGGCGCCAAACCGCTCCGCCACCCAGGGATCCCCAGAGCAAGCAATTCTTGATCTTGGGGTCATGAGTTCAAGCCCCACATTGGGTGCAGAGATCACTTAAATTAATAAAAATTGTACTTAAAAAAAGACTTAAGTAACTTATCAACTAATAACAATGTTTACATCTGAGTTGCATATTTCAAAATAATCATATTGTAAAGAAAAATTTTGAGACAAATGGGGAAAATTTGGAAACTGATCAGCTACCTCATGGCATCAAGAAATTACTTTGGGGGATCCCTGGGTGGCCCAGTGGTTTAGCACCTGCCTTTGGCCCAGGGCATGATCCTGGAGTCCTGGGATCAAGTCCCACATCAGGATCCCTGCATGGAGCCTGCTTCTCCCTCTGCCTGTGCCTATGCCTCTCTCTCTCTCTCTCTGTCTCTAATGAATAAATAAATAAAATTTAAAAAAAAGGAAAGAAAGAAATTACTTTGGGTATGGTATGGTATTTTAGTTTTTTTTTTTTAAGATTTATTTATTTATTCATGAGAGATGTAGAGAGAGGCAGAGACATAGGCAGAGGGAGAGGCAGGCTCCTCGCAGGGAGCCCACTGTGGGACTCAATCCTGGATCCCAGGATCACGCCCTGAGCTGGAGGCAGACACTTAACTGCTGAGCCACCCAGGCATCTCTATTTTAGTTATTTTTTAAATGTCATCTTATATAGATATGTACTGAAATAACTATAGAAAAAATATATCTAAGATTTATTTCAAAATAATCTGAGGTGGGAGTTGTAATAAGAGAATGGAAATAAAGTTGGTCACAGGAGCTAAAAATTTTTGAAGTTTATGGATATCTGAGTGATTATTAACTATTATCTCTAGTTTTGTACATGTTAGACATTTTCCATAATGGAAAGTTTTTTTAAAGATATAGAATATCCTAATAGTTATAATCAAATGAAAAATAACTAAAGACATACCTAAAACACCAAATATCTGTGGAAATACAGCAATATACTTCTAAATAACTTATAAACAAACAAAAAAGGAAACAATGGAAATTTGAAACTATTTTGAACTGAATAATAAAAATACATTTCAGGGGGCATCTGGGTGGCACAGTGGAGTGGTTGAGCATCTGCCTTTGGCTCAGGTCATGATTCTGGGTTCCAGGATCTAGTCCACATCAGGCTCCCTGTGGAGCCTGTTTCTCCCTCTGCCTGTGTCTCTGTCTCTCTCTCTATGTCTCTCATGAATAAATAAATAAAATCTTTTAAAAATAAAAATAAATTTTAAAAATATATATTTCAAGACATATGAAATGCAGATAAATTCATGCTTAGAGGGAAATCTGTGGAAAGGCTAAAAATCAGTAAGCTAAGCATCCATTGCAAAAACTACAGGGAGAAGCAAATTAAGTTCCCTAAAAAGTAGAAATTAATAATGTGGAAAACAAAAATATAAATTAATAATGTAGAAAACAAAAATATAGCTAGAAGGATTAAAATACCAAAAGCTGGTTCTTAGAAAAGATAGGGACGCCTGGGTGGTTCAATGGTTGAGCGTCTGCCTTCAGCTTAGGGCGTGACCCTGCAGTCCTGGGATCCAGTCCCACATCAGGCTCCCTGCATGGAGCCTGCTTCTCCCTCTGCCTGTGTCTCTGCCTTTCTCTCTATCTTTCATGAATAAATAAATAAAATCTTTGAAAAAAAAAGATTAATAAACTGACAAATCCTTGACACTAATAAGAAAAAAAGAGAAAATATAAATATCAATGTGCTGTAAAGAAATCACTATAGATCCAGCAGGCATTAAAAAAATAGCAAAGGAATATTATAAAACTATGAAAATCTAGATGAAATGGATAAGTTCCTAGAAGAATACAACTACCAAAACTGACGCAAGAAGAAACAAGTCTGAATGGCAAACTATTTTAAAAATACAATACATAGGGACGCCTGGGTGGCTCAGCGGTTGGGCATCTGCCTTCAGCTCAGGGCGTGATCCCAGGATCTGGGATCAAGTCCTACATCGGGCTCCCTATGAGGAGCCTGCTTCTCCCTCTGCCTAGGTCTCTGCCTCTCTCTCTCTCTGTCTCTCATGAATAAATAAATAAATCTTAAAAAAAAATGCACAGGTGGGTGGGGAGAAGGGATAATTGGGTGATGGGCATTAAGGAAGGCACCTGATGTAATGAGCACTGGCTGTTACATGCAACTGATGAATCACTAAATTCTACCTTTAAAACTAATTTTAAAAAATAAATAAAAATAAAAATACAATGCATAAAAAAATCTTACCAAAGACAACTCCAGGCCTAGATTGCGCATCAGCAAATTATACTAAATGTCTAAGTAAGAATAACGCATGCCTTATCATACTCTTCACTAAATCTTCAAATAACCCTATGTGCTACATACTCATTACGTCAGAAAGGAAACAAGGGAATGTTAATTTGCTCAATACCAGAGATAAGAAAAGGCACAAAAATCATGCTCTTTCAACACTGATAGTCTCAAACATATGGCATTGTTTTTAATTTAAATCATACTATGAAATATTCCATTAATCAGATTCTTCAGCCAAGATTTAAACCTCTCGGTAATATTACTTTTTAAAGGTTTTATTTATTTAACAGAGAGAACACAAGCAGGGGCAGCAGCAAAGGGAGAGGGAGAACAGACTCCCCACTGAGCAGGGAGCCTGATGCAGGGCTCAATCCCAGGATGTCCCAGGATTATGACCTGAGCCCAAGGCAGATGCTTGACTGAGCCACCCAGGAGCCCCAACATTATTTCATTCCGTAGGTGTTTGTGAATGTGTGTCATGGTCATTGCTGCTTTTTCATCTGCCCTATGTGCCTTCCTTGTTACTAACAGTTATTACTTCCCAGTTACTTCCCAGTTATTAACAGTTATTACTTCCCTTGTTACGTCCCAGTTATTAACAGTTAACTAATACAATACACTGAGGACCTGATACTATGGGCCATTTAAAGCCTGTTCCTCAAAAATAAAAAAATAAAAATAAAAATAAATAAAGCCTGTTCCTCCTCTCAGGCTTTCCATGATGCTTAAAGACATCTGCTAAAAACCAACTAGACAGGCACTGTCCAAGGTGCAGAGGATGCAGATCAATAAAATATCATCTTTCCAAACCAGGGAGAACTCCCATTCTTTTTTCTTTTTTTTAAGATTTTATTTATTTATGCATGAGAGAGACAGAGAGAGAGGCAGAAACATAGGCAGAAGAAGCAGGCTCCTCGCAGGGAGCCAGATGTGGGACTCGATCCCAGAACTCCAGGATCACACCTTGAGTCAAAGGCAGACCCCCAACCACTGAGCTACCCTGGTGTCCCAAGAACTCCCATTCTTGTAAGTTAGATGGACTCTGATCAAACGATCATAAAGTGATATGATATGGGGTTCACTGGTAAAGTGAGCTGAGGGTCTAACTCAGCCAAATGGAGTCAGGAGACTTCATTAAAACATAGATCTGAAAAATGAAGTCATTCAACAAGGTAGGAAAGAAGACAAGAAGACTCTAAGCAGAGTACACATGTGTACCAAAACATCTAATGCCAAAGCATACGAGGAGTTCAAATGGCAGCCGTAGCCAAAGCTTGTCCTGGTTCGTTCTGCATTCTCAGAGTGAACGTATGTGCTGGTCAACTGGAGTTCTCACTACACTAAGATTCACTGACATCATCACACTAAGATTTGATTGATTAATTTAAGGCCCTAATTGGCTATGTTCATAATTCAACTTTAAATGATGTTTATTTCACTGTAGAAAATCCCTGTGACAGTGATCTATGTGAAGACATGCATTCGTTATCCTGTAATTTTGCAACATTAACAACAAAACCAGATCATGAATGCTTTGGCTAGACCGTCAAAGCACCAGAAAAGAAATGATCACCGAGTTATGTCATGACACCATAATGAAAAGGGGACTGGAGACAACTGTAAACGAAGTAACCCCTCAAAACACAATCTCAACAAAATAATGTGGCTGGAATTGCTGGAAAATTCTTCTCAAAATACAACAGTCAGAAACGGAAGCGCCTGGGTGCCTCAGGGGTTGAGCATCTCCCTTTGGCTCAGGTCGTGATCCCCGGGGTCCTAGGATCCAGTCCGGCTCAGGTCATCAGGTCATGATCCCCGGGGTCCTAGGATCCAGTCCCTCAGCAGGCTCCCTCCGGGGAGCCTCCTTCTGCCTCTCTCTCTCTCTGACTCTCATGAATAAATAAATAAAATCTTTAAAAAAAAATTAAAAGAATTAATTAAAAATCAAGTCAGAAATGGAAAGTATCCTCCTGATTCAAGTTTTTAGGAGGAAACCCCAGGCAGAGGCATAACCCTGGTGTGCAAAACAACAAACAGATTTTAGTTCAAGAAGTTTGGCGGGGGGCGGGGGGGGGGGGAGGCGGGGAAGAAGTTTGGAGAGAGGGTCGGGGATGTCAAATCAGAAATGTGTCCAACCTGCATACAGCTGAGGTCATCAGCAACGGTCACAGCTCTGAGGTCCTCAAGTCCGACACACCCGGACTAGCCCACCTTGGACGCTAAGAATCTCGCGGGCCACTCCGGACAAGATCAACGTGAGGCTCCCAGAGCCCAGGGAAGGCCAGAGGGAACCCAGCCCCGTCCCGGGCCCGACAGCACGTGCAACGTCACAGTCCCGACCCGGTCAGCCGCGCGGATCTCCCAGAAAGAGGCCAAACTTGAACCGCACTCAGCCTGGCTAAGAAGCCGGGAGAGGAAGCCCCGGGAAAGGAGGAAAGCAGAAGCGGGAGTGAGGAGCAACGTAGGGTGCGGAGCGGCGGCCCCACCACCCGGGCTGGCGCGCCAAAGGACAAGTCCCCAGACGCAGACAAATACCCAACGGAACACCTACTTCCACCTGCATTTTCCAGGAACTCAGCCTTGGCTGCCCCCTCCCCGCCCCACCCGATCCAATTCCTCCCCTTCGGTGGGACCCTTAGCAGAAGCAAGGGGGCGCTTCTCAGGGGGCTCCCGGCAAAACTACGAGGGAACTGCCGGAGCTGCCGGAGAGTCGCGGCCGGTCGCCCGCCGCACAGCTGCGAGCACAGAGACCGAATGCAAAGGTGAGGCTCTTCCTTACCTGACGCAGGAGCTTCCACCGGGCGGCTCCCAAGGGCTCCGAGACTTGAAGCCCCCGAGAAGCGCCGCTGCTTGCTGGGCCTCCGCCCGCAGCTCGCTCAGCCTCCCTGGCCTCGGCGTCCGCGACTCGCGACTCCATCCTGTTAAAGCCGCCTCTTCCCCGAGCTGTCGCGGCGACGGCTCTCCCCTGCCAGGACCTGCCGACTTCTTCTCAGTCAGGACCTGCGAGCCGGACCTCCCTCCGACCGCCCTGGAGCGCGCGCCCTCCCCGAATTCCGCATTTCCGGTATTCGCGTCTCCCTGGCAACCAGGCCCGCGCGGCTCGCGTCATTGCACCATTTTTTGTTGGCGGCCATCTTTAGTGAGGGCGGACCAAACCGTAAGGGCGTTGCGGCAGAACTAGTGGGACACTGGCTCCTCTGCTCCCCCCGTCCTCTGCTTCATCGCGAGCCCAAAGGCGAGCAAAGAACGAAAAATCTTAGAACTTTCAAGCTTTAAAAAAAAAACCTCCGGCGGAGGAGAATCTATTCGTGACCATAATAAAGATGGCGAAATCTGCTTAGGGCTCGTGCTTGACTGGGGTTACGTAGGCCAGCGTGCTGCAAACCAGCTCTGGGCGGCTCTGGATAGGCTGTCGTCCTGCGGGCTGCAGAACGCAGACTTCGGCTGGACGGGACTGGGGCAGCACCGGCGCTGCTCCCTGAAAGCTTTAATTCTCGGACTTGTCCTCTCGTTTCGGTGTGCAGAGCGCGTCCGACTGTCCTCCAACTTGCGTACGTATGGCGGGGCATACCGTGTCCTGGAGGGGTTCTCCCCATCGTCCCCTCACGCAGCCATCCCTCAAGTCCCCTTGCTCCTCGCTCTTTGCCCCGCGTCGCTTCTCCGCGTGGCGCAAACGGTGGCCGCCACCCCACCCCCACCCGCACCCGCACCCGCAGCCCCCAGCCGGCTTGCTCTCACTTCGCCTCCTCCCCAGGGTGGAGAGTCGCGCCGGGAACACCCATTTGTCTCCCCCACCCTATTCCTAGCCTTGCAATACTGTCTTCTCCCTGCCGATGAAGGATGGATGGATGGATGGATGGATGGATGGATGGATGGAGGGAGGATGCCGGCATGGGCGTAATGACTGAGGTCCTGACAGGGCCGGGGGCGGGGGGTTAGTGTTGGCTGCTGATCTCTTGTGCCCACTCGCCCGTTATTTTGCTGCGACACAGAGATGATGGGGGGCGGAGGCGTCGTAGCAGATCCAGTGGATCTCTAGTAAATCTGACGCAGCATTATGCCTTTGATACCGAGGGGCCTTTTGCGGAAGACTTCCACGATGACATTCAGCCGTGTGCAAGATACTTGCCGTTTTTCTTAAAATCATAGTAGCCAGTATCTGTTGAGTGCCCGCTACGAGCCAGGCGCCGTATTAAGATCTTAACGAAAATTATCTAGTTTTATCCATAACTCCATAAGGTAAATGGTGTCATTACCTCAGTTTTGCAGATGAAGAAACTGAGGCACAGGTGGGGAGTGCCGGAGTGACCACCTGAACCCAGGTGTCTCTTCTTACTAGCCTTACTTTGATGGGTTAATAAAGAACCATCTTTTCAGCAGAGACCAGAGGTGGCCTCACATTCTTTTTTTTTTTTTTTTTTCATTCTGAAGTGATGTGTTTTGTCTTAAATAAAGAGCTAAAGACCTCTTTAATGTTAAGTCCGGTGGTGAGTCTAAGATTTGGAGCCAAACCGGATTGGACTTTTTGTCCTATTTTTTCTGTCCAGGTGACCCAGGGCACTTGTGGAAACTTCCCAGAGCCACAGCTTGCTCACCTGTAAAATGAACGTTATAATGGCAACTCTATCAGGTCCTTATGAAGTTTAAATTAGACAAAGTGTATAAAAAAGTGTCTGGCACGTAGCAAACACTCAGCACTCTTCTACCTTTACTAAGTAGGCTTTTCCGGCTTATCCTTCATATGTGTACCAAAGATAAGTTCTGAATTTCGCAAGATCAAAGCTGTTTTGCCTCTCAACACCCTCAAGAGTTCCAGAATGCCTTCATTTAAGTGTGTGTATTTGCAAATTTTTATTTTTTGTGTGTTTTTTATTTTGTTATTGTTTTTTAGTTTGCCCCATGTGTACCAGAATCAGTGCTGCCTAGTTTGAGCCTGATAGGACTGACTTTACAAATGAGACATTTAAGTCACGTCTGCCAAGAAGTGTGATTTGAATGAAACTTAAACTTACACAAGTTCTCAGGTATTTTTAACCTGAGTTATCAGCTGTCTGCAGTTATTCATAACCTGAGGGGTGTATGGCCCTGAAGGGGAGGGATAAGAACTACGGATCTTAGATACTCTGAGAACCCACTACTGTGTAATCCTACCTATGAAATCATATGCTCCAAAGGGAGCATAAACCAGGTACTCTGATATCATGCAGCAGAAGAGCAAATTATTTCTCCAGGCTTTGAAGTATAGTATTCCTCACCTTGGGAAATGCATGCAGAAACAGCACTTGAATCACTGTAACTTCGCTGATCATTATTACAATAGAATAAAATTGAAAAAATATCACCTAACCAAGTGTCTGCAGAGTAAACCCACGATATCAGAGTTAGCAAGAAACATCCCAACTCGGAGCTTCTCAAGTAAGGTATGGACTTTTTAAGTTAACCTATTTATAGGTCATTAAGATTAATTTTTGTTTTAAATTTTAGTTTAAAATAATTTAAAGGTAAAGAATGGATAGGATCTCAGTTACTAATTTTCTCAGTAGTTGTAGTTTAATTTTTTAAATGTTAAGGTTCAATTGTCTATATAGTTCAATATAAATATAAAAGCATATACATGTATAAATTTTTAGCACTGTAATGTAATATATAAAGATGTGTATTTATAGAAAATGATTCACGTTAGGAAATCTATACACCTAAAAAAGAAAAAGGAAATCTTTACACCTGCCAGCGCATTTCTTTTTTCCTTTTTCTTTTTTTTTTTTTTTCTTATTCTGTGGGCAGCAAAGCAAGGTTTATTGAGTGATAGTAAACTTTATTGAATGATAGAGTACAAAGCTCCCAAGGAGGGAGGAGACCTGAGAAGATTGCCAATCTGTGCATTTCAAAGTATAATTCAGCTTCCTGAAATTCCCAGAATATCATAATAGCTTTTAACAAAATCTAATAAGATGTTAATTGTTTATGAATCCCAAATTAGTAAACTAGAATAACTCCATGTAATTGTGTTAATCCTTTGTTAGAAAGAAAGAAAGAAAGAAAGAAAGAAAGAAAGAAAGAAAGAAAGAAAGAAAGAAAAAGAAAGGCTTGCATTTTTGACCACTTGGGTCCTTCAGGAAGATGGTTTCAGACTGTTGTACTTTGGCAAGACCCCAAGCTGTGGGCTTGACCTCAACCTTGAGGACCTGATTACCTTTATGTGTTGAGTCACCACACATTCCTATTTGCCTAGGACAGTCCCAATCTACACCTGTTGTCCCTGTGTAATTATTAATAGGGTCCCCTTTCCTCTCAGAAATGTCCTGGTTAGGATGGTAAATTATATGGTCATCCTACTTATCGGATATTAAGCTATCTATTTATGCTGCTGCCACTTTGACATACCTCCCTACCATAAACTTGTTATGTTCCTTAGGCTCTTTAAATTTCATTTGGGAGTGATACTTTTGCAATAATTTACCATATTATTTTAATATTTTAATCTCTGGTTTAAAATGTTTTGTTGTGTACTGGTTTTTTTCTTTTTAGTCTGTTTTGACTACCTCATTTTTTTATTGTGATAAAATGTATATAAACCTAAAATTAGTCAGTGGCAATTACATTCAGAATGTTGTAGTCATTACCGCTATTTCTAAAATCCTGTCATCACCCGAAAGAAGTGTATGCATGAAACAGTAATTCCTCACTGCTTCCTTTTCCAAGCCCCTGGTAACCTTATATCTACTGTCTCTATGAATTTGCCTGTTCTAGTTAATTCATGTAATTGTAATCACATGGTATTCTTCTATGTTTGGCTTATTTCAGTTAAAATGTTTTCAAGGTCCATCCATGTTGTAGCATACATCAGAACTTCATCCTCTTTATGGCTGAATAATATTCCATTATGTATACCATATCTTTTTGTCAATGGATACTTGAGTGGCTTCTCTTTTTAAAAATTTTTTTTTATCTTATTTTACTAGATTCTTTTTTTATTTAATGTATGCTCTTAGCTCAAGCTTGTGAGTTCTTGTGTGGGTTTTGTTTTTTGTCTGTTTTTTGTTGGTTTTTGCTTTTGATTTTTTATCTGTGGTTCCTAGACATTTTTACTCTTTATGTCCTTTTTTTTTTTTTTTTTACGTCTTAGTCTTTCAAATTATTTTTCTTTTTATGGTGTCTTGGCTTAGTTTAGCAATTTGATTCCTTTTTTACTCGGGAATTCTTTATGCCTTTTATTTGATTATTACCTTGTGTATGTGTATGCAGCTTTATTCTACTTAAGAAACACAAACTTTAAATTTTACTATTCAAAAAATTGTGGATCTTTAGATCATTTTATTTTGCATTTGTTTGGAACATTTTGTCATCGAGTACATTTATTTTGAGTCTTAGTTTATAAATAGTAGGCAGGAATTACCAGCAGACTGACAGCTGAGATTGGCTCACACCCTGAACAGGAGGTTGACTATTTTTTCCCTCCATTTGTCCCTGAAGCAACTTTCTAATTCTCTTTTCACAGATGCCTGTCACCTAGAAACTGTAACGTGACTAAATGACTGCAAGAAAAAGTAGCTCTTTTAGTAACAAACTGGTCTTGCTTTCACATATGGTATATCAACCA